CACCATTTTACATTTCCACCAGCAATGCACGAGGGTTCCAATTTCTCCACATCTTTGCCAAGAATTGTCGTTGTTTGCCTTTCTTAGTATTGCCACTCTAGTGGTTATGAAGTGGTAGGTATCTCATTGTGGTTTAGTTAAAAGGGGAAAATAATTTTCTACGTATACTTCAGAAATTATAGAAAATAATTTAAAAAATACTTTTATTAGAGGGAAAAGGTTTCCCTTACACATCTACATTTGTAAGGAGAGTTTTTGTGGAATGGGAATTGGATCAGATAGGGTAGCAGAATACAAATCTTGAAAAAGAACACCAGAGACTGATCTAGGAATTAAGACATGTCTTTTCAAATCTTGAAAAAGAATACAGACTTAGGAATTAAAATGTGCCTTTTCTCTTTAAAGAAATATTTTGCTGTCTTCAAATAGAAAACAGTGCATCCTCCTCAAGAGCAGATACCTCCTGCCTGTAACACCAAGGTCCTGGTGGACCTTAGCAGTTCTTGTCCTGCTGCAGGACAACATCCATTTGGTTACCCATAACCCCCAATAATCCGTGAATAGACAAATGGATGATGTCAGAGCAATTTGCTCAAAACTTAGTCACAGAAACAATGCCATAAACGGTCTAAGCCAGCCTACAAAACTCACTTCAGCTACTGTGTATTTAAACTCCAACAGAAACAGGGACTGCCAGCCTTTCTGGTCTCTCATCCCTAAGGGTCTGAGAGGAGATGTCACTGCAGTGTTATTTAACTTTTCTCCCATGTTTATATCTAGACTCCCTTAACAGATTATAAGCTCTTGAAGGCAGGGGCCAGAACTGTCTTAGAACTAGAATATCTGATAGACACTTCAATGTCCAAAACAGAATTCATTATCTTCTCAAATCTGTTTTTTATTATATTTATTTATTTATTTTTTTAGAGATGGGGTCTTGCTCTGTTGCCCAGGCTGGAGTGTAATGGCATGATCACAGTGCGCTGTAACCTTGAATTCCTGGGCTCAAGTGATCCTCCTGCCTCAGCCTCTGGAGTAGACGGGATTGTAAGTACGAGCCACTACACTGGCCTGAATCTGTTCTATCTACAGTTTTTTCTATTCAGTTTATCAAAACTTCACCCTTCCCATTGTTTGGGCCCGGATCTTGGAGTTATCCTCAACTTCTATTTTTCTCTCACACCCCGTAACTGATCTGTAGTAAATCCTGTTGGCTCCACCTTTAATACCAATTCAGAATCCAACCACTTCCCACTACCTCCAGGGCTACCACTATGGTCAAAGCCACCACCATCTCTCTTATAGATTACTGTGAGAGCCTAATTGCTTTTCTTGTTTCTAACCTTCCGTCCTCACAGTCTTTTCTGAGTAGAAAAGAGTGCCACTTTTGGGGTTTGCTCTTAACCTTTTACTATGGAAATTTACAAACCTATATAATGGCAAAGAGAATACTATAATAAACCCTATATACCCGTCATACAGTTTCAATGATTATTGGTACATGGGCAATCTTGTTTTATCTTACCCCCCATAGTACCCTAGCTTCCAGATTGTTTTCATTCCATGGAATCATGCCTTAAAAACATAAGTCAAATCATGCCCCTTATTTGTTCAAAACCTGCCAATGCCTTCCCCCTTAAACTCAGAGTAAAAAGCAAAGATCTTATAAGGGCCCTAGAAGCCCTTATCAGGGGCTGGCAAATGATGGCCCCCAGACCAAATGCAGCTGGCCATTTGTTTTTCCGTGGCTCACTAGCTAAGAATGGGAGCTAAGAATGGTTTCTGTATTTTTAAATGGTGGAAAAAAATCAAAAGAAGAATATTTTGTGATATGTGAAAATTATATAAACTTAAATTTGAGTCTATAAAGTTTTATTGGAATACAGCTATGTTAATTTGTTAAGTATCATCTGTGGCTTGCCTTAATGCTAGAAAGGTAGTGTTGAATATTTGCAAGAGAGATCACATGGCCCACAAAGTCAATACTTACCACAAATATTTACTATCTGGTCATTTGTAGAAAAAAATTTGCCAACCCCTGTCCTAATCAATCAAGGCCCCATGTAATGTCTTTGATCTTATTTTCCCATACACCCCATTCTGGTCTCACTGACTTCTTTCTTGTTGTTTGAACAGGCCAGACACTCTCCTATCTCAGGACCTTTGCATTGGCTATTCCCTCTGCCTGCAATACTTTTATCCTAAACATTTGCATAGCTCTTTCTCTTGCCTTTAAGTCTTTGCTCAAATGTCACCTGTAATGAGTCCTAGCCTGACTACTCTATTTAAACTTGTAACTCGAGTCCATTTCTCCATCAGCAAGGAAGGATCCTGGTGTTGAGGTCCTATCTATCAAGGACAATAACTACCATGGCTTTCAGTGTTCTGAGGAAACCTCAGATGCATGGCCTTCTGGTCAGGTGCCTGTGATTTCATATTGTTGGAGCATTCATTGTATCCCTGGAGGTTGCAGCTCTCTATAACTTTGCTGTGGTTGAACCAAGAAAGAAGGCATACACAGATTTCTACAGAAATTATAATTCCATGAACACTTTTGAGGAGATGAGCAAGGCTGGTATCTTTCAGAGTGCAAAGTGATTTTGGAATATAATTTCTTTGGGTTGAATTACATAGAAGTTTATCACTAACCTATATTCCTGAACTACAAAACATGAATATGTGGGCTAGGGAATAGTTTCTCTTGATAAATAAACAATTAACAAATAAAAAAACTTATAACTCATGTCCCTTACCCCACACTCCCTGTCTTCTTACTGTATACCATATTTTTCATTTCCATAGCACTTAGCATCTTCTAACGTGCTGTTTACTATTATTTATCATTTATTTCTCCCAACTAAACATAAGCTCAATGGCACAAAGGTTCTTTGTTGGTTCGTTCATAGACCCAAAGCCTGACACACAATTAGGCATAAATATTTGTTGAATAAATATAATTCCCTTTTTAAAAAATTTGTAGAGATGTGGTTTCACTATGTTGTCCAGGCTGGTCTCAAACTCCTGGGCTCAAGTGATCCTCCTACCTTGGCCTCCCAAAGGGCTGGAATTTATAGGTGTGAGCCATCACGCCCAGCCTGTAATTACTTATCAAAATTTTAAGGGTCTCAACTTGGTAAGATTTTTATAAAACAAAGACTTTGAATTCTAAGTAATGAAAATAAGAACCATTGCCCTGCAAATGAGAAACCTCTTCCAGAGTGTTTCGTCTATTCATCATCCAACCATGAGTGTAATATTTATTGTCTATCTACCACATCAGGGTGTGGGGGAATCTAAGGATGAAACAGTCTGAGCTTACAGTTTACCAGGACAGATGAAACTCATAGATAAATAACTGTAATAGAGGCAAAATGTGATAATTCAGGGCTGTAATGTAAACCCAGGTCTGTTAAGGTCAAGGCCAATGTTTTCTCTCACCACAGTGCTGTTGCCAATTACTAGCTATTGTAAACATCATCCTTCAAAACAGCAAAAGTAGGGGGAAAATGCAAGTATCACAATAAGGAAAATAAGTAAATTACTGGACACAAATTTGATAAGCTGTTATAAAATGACTAAATAATTATGAAAATATGAAAAATATTTTTAGTGGGGGAAATGCATATCACAAACTAACCTATGGTATAATAAAATATGGATGTATTTACTCAATAAACACTAACTGAGCACTAACAATGGGCAGGCACTCTACTTTGTGCCAGGGAAAATTCAAAGAAGAATGATACACAATCTTGGCCCTCAAGGGGCTCACATATGGACAGCAACCAGGAGAGAACTTAGATAAACAAAAATAGGCAATGTCCTAGGGTAGCAGACCCCATGGGAATAGTTTTCCTTTAAACTTTTTTCTTTATAATTGCTAAAGTGCTTTAGTTAAAATAAATAAAATCAATCAAAAATGTTAAAAAAAAGCAAGAGGACGTATCCAATTTTGTCAGATGTAAAAATGAATTATAAAAAATTAAAAGGGGTCTAGATTGTGTTCTTTAAATATCACTTCCCAGTATAAGAACCAGGGCTCCTTGGAGGAATGGCTGATTCCAATCTGGAGCAAGAAATCTACAAGATGTGCCTGAAACATACTGTCATGCCAGACAGCAAGGAACCTCACAAAACACCTAGAGTCATTGTCCCTACACTATGCCTTTATATGTTTCCTTTTCTGTGAAGAAGGTTAATAGGCAAATATAACTCCAACCAGCCTGCAGCTCATATGTAGGAGGTCTAAGTAGTGGAAGGTTGTTAACCCTTCCTTCCCTCTTGCCAACAGAGCCACCTTATTACATTTGAAATAGAAAGTAAAATGACATTATGGAAAGTGAGATTACAAAGGGTCAACCTTTGTGTCTTTGCTGGAGGTAACTGGCCTTTCCAAGTCTCATCCATGTTCCCCTCCCCCAACTGCTGCTACTGGGTACCATACCAGCTACTACTACTTCAAACAGCTGAATTCCTGTGTCCCAGATGTCTCCGAAAACTTTACTTACGCTAGTATACACAAAGACATACGCCAATGAGAATGACTTTCAAAACTATCCATCAGAATTTAACCATTCAAACACATCTTTCCCTACCAAAATGCTCACTCAACCCAGCAACAGGGCTATCAGTCAAATCACTCTGCAATCCAACTCCATCTACAGTTAATGGGCAAGCCATGCAAGAACATGGGCCTGGTTGCTTTAAAGTTTTTTTCCACCCAGGATGGCATCACCTTGCTTCAGAATTCACTTAATTCATTAGCTCTGACAGCAACAGATGAAGATTAACTACCACTATGAATATGGAAAAGAATAAGCTGAATGGTCTGGAAGCAACATAAAACAATAAACAAATGAGAGAGATTTATATAATGGCAGAGCCCTAGGAGTCAGTGGGCAGCCTTCTCTGTGACCTTTTGGTTAACAGGACACTCACTGGAAGGGTGAGCCTGGCCAATTTTGTGTTAGCCCACTCTACCACTTCTCATCGGAACTTACCTGAATACAAGCCCCTGTCTTCAACTTGCACAAGTTGCAGACTAAGGCCCACCGACTGGGCGGGATGTGGGAGATCTTTGTGATGGGTTCCATCCTCTCAGGACAAGCAATGCTGACCTACAAATTAAACACCAGCATAAGGGAGAGGCACCAAGGCATTCTGAAAGTACCTGTCACAAACCACAAATGATGTTATGTGAAGCTCAGAACATCAAAACAATGAGGTAAGCCATCTCTTAAGGTTAATATGGAACCAAGAATAAATAAAACCTGTCTCTATCTACTGCTCAGTCCTTTAATCATTTCCAGTAATGTAAATGATTCATATACGGGATGAGAGGGAAGGAGTATAGACTAGGCATGGTTACCTTAATGAATCAAAGACATCTACACTTTACTTAGGAACCAAAGAAAGCTAAGGAAAGGAATTAAAATTCACAAAATCTAGCACCTGTCATTATGTTAGAGATGATGCCACACGCCTTGTCTCATTTCATCAACTAAGGATGAAAAAAAAAGAGGCAAGGACAAGTCTTTCCATTTGGTTTGCAAAGGAATTATGATACTGTAGCAGCAAATTTATGTAATGAAGAGATTGCAGCATGTAAGTAGAAAGGATGAGGATTGACAACATTTTTAAAACAAAGTCTTTAAAACCACACAACTATCATCAGCTTACCCTACTCACTCAGCAAAAGTAGCCTCAAAGTGAAATTAGTCCAACAGAGAGACCTTGAATAGTACAAAAGGTACTGGAAACCATAACAGAATGCCAATATCTTAGAAAGCTTATTTTACTTTTAAGGAACTCTTCTTGAGTCATGTTTCAGACTTTTATAAGCTGAGAGAGCCTGCTCTATTAGCTGGGTGATTTGCTGCTGGAAACCAGTCCCTTTCAAGCCAGAAATCTGAGAATTCACTTTATATGCCTTAATGTTCTTAGTAAGAAAAAGAAACTACGATTCAAATATTTTTAAAAATACTAATGTCTATAGCCGTAAGAGTACAAAAATATGTATCTAGGACTATTAGTTAAACTCTGTGAACTTGATTATCAGATGGTAACTATCCTGGAACTAACATTAACAAGATTAAAGCCAATAAAATTTAAAGGAGAATTAACTGCTGATATAGTATTATTGGCTCCCCATTAACTGAATTCTGAAGTCTCTCTTGTCATGCAGTTAAAATGCCTAACAGGTTTGCTGGCTTGGATAGGGGTTGGGAAGAGAGGGTGTGAGTGGGATATCCAAACAGCTAAAGAAAAAGAAAGGCAGCCCTAAGATGTAAGGAAAAGAAATGGCTGGAAGCCCTGTTTTAATTTAGTATACACATAGCCCTTTAGGAAATACCAGCAACTGAAAGACCAGGTTAGACAATGAGTTAGATAATGAGTTATGAATAAAGGTATTAGGCAAATGATGAGTCTAAGCTCAGAAGAGAGCTTCAAAGGAGAATGGATAAATAAATCATTGTATATCCATATAACGGAATACTAGTCAGCAATGAAAGGAATGAACTATTGATACGCACCACAATATGGAGTGCTAGCCAGATCAAAAAGAGTATATACTGTATGATTCCATTTATATGAAGTTCAAAAACAGACAACACTAATCTATAGTGATAGAAATCAAAATCGTGGTTATTCTTGGGGGATAGGGACTAGAAAGTGGGTATAAGGGATCCTTCTGGGGTACTCTATGTTATTTCTGAGGTGTTCCATGTCTTGGTCTGAGTTGTGGTTACAGATACATACATGTATAAAAATTCACAAAACTACATTAAGATTTGGCATTTTAAGGTAAGTTTTACCTTAAAAAAGTCTGTTGCTCATACTCTGGTCTTTTGAGCCCCTCTTCTCATACAAATTTATCAAATACCACTGGGAGTACCACTATATCAATCAGCATGGGCTTACATGTTACACTTGCATCCAAGAAGGATCTAAGGTAGCTCAAGCAGAAGCATTACCTCAGGAACAAGAGCAAGCATGAAGCATCTCCATGCTAAGCCTGAGTCAATTTGAACATTGTAGGGAATGGGGGCACCCCAGAACAAATGGCCTTGCAGGCCTGGATGAATTCTTACCTCTGGAATCCATAGGGCACAGCTGACATGAGCCCATTTAGTCCCTGTCCTGGTGGTCTTCATGGCTCCACCTTTCTTTGGACATAACAGACATTGTGGATGAATGCCCAGGACACAGGAGCGACACAGCCAGCTGCCTTCTGGGACCTTGAGGATGCCATAGCAGGCCTGGAGGCACGAGGAAGAGAGGGGAGAGTGGTCAGCATCTTCTTACCAGGGTCGATGTCTGTTCTGACACACATCCCAAAGAGTACCCTCTGCTTTTGGGATGGTAAATAAAGCTGAACAAGCTTATATCCAGGATTAATTTTTAAAAGATACTCAAAAAAGCAACTTCTAGCATCTGTCCTAAGATCAGCATGTCTGTCCACAAGAAGGGACTTTAAGGATGATAGTACAAGACCAGAAGGAGATATAGCCAAAGGCTAGCCAAGGATGATAGTACAAGACCAGAAGGAGATATAGCCAAAGGCTAGCCCAACTGTTACCTGAATTAAATGTTTTACAGGATTTTTTCTTTTTTCTTCTGTTTTCTAAAGCTTCTTCAATGATTATGTATTATAATTAGTCAAACAGTTATCAAACAACTTCTACATGTCATATACTATTTTGATCAAGAAAAAAAGTGTTAGAAAATAAACAGAAATAAACTTCTGAGGAGCAAATTAACTCATGTTTATAAAGAGCCTAATAGAGCCTGGCACATAAAAAGCACTCAGCAAATCACAGCAATTATTTGCTTGGGTCGAAGAAAAAGGGACTTGTGAATGAACCATGAATAGAATATTACTCTAATCACAATAAGCCATAATGAGTTCTGGAAGCTGCTTCAAATCCTTTATAGAACGAAGCTGGACAAAGAAATAAAGTGAATTACTGGGGGAAGTGGGAGATTAGTTTGGGAAACTTTTCACTATCCCCAATTTTGCCCATCTTTTCTTCCTTACTGCTCTATTCTATTACAGACTAAACCTTGGGGACACTTGTCTCCCCATATGGCCTGGCTGGCATACCCTCTACCACTGACTGACTCAACATGGCAGCTTCAAAATCTCTGCCTGTTCCAGGAGATTTCATTTTCAGCTCAGATTCCAGTTATAACTGTTACTAGCACATCTGCCCTCCCCTCCACCTGCTCCTTTTCTAAACTTCTTGTTTCCACGTCAACACCAATGCTTCTCATCTTCCAGATTCAAATTTGTGGACTTGTATTACTCACTTTCTCCCATCTGCTATCTCTAGTGCTCACTATTCCTCTCTGTAGAGTGGCCCTCAGATTCTAACCATCCTCTCCATCACCATCACAATTGCTCTAAGTTCTCATCATAGCATGCTTGGATTGACTTACTTCTAAATTTTCTTCCTCCCCCTTCATATCTTCAACTCTTCCTCTACTTAATTAGCAGATTCTTCTCAGTAAAACAAAGAATTCATACCATTGCGCACTGGCAAACTTTCGAAAGATTCCTTCTGCCCTCACCTCTCCCACTCCCACCTAAACTAGGGGCTGGCTGTTGTCTGAGGCCTGTTTTATAAAGCCAACAAGAGAAGAATGGTTTTCATATTTTTAAAGGGTTGTAAGAAGGAAGAATATGTAAAGAGACTGTATCTAGCCCTTCAAAGAAAAAGTTTGCTGGCCCCTTATCTAAAGCCTGCTGTTACTCACATCTCACTGTCTGCTCTCATGCCCCACCACACTCAAACACAAGGCCACTGACTTGGACAGGCAGGCTCCCTTTTCTTCATCACTGGCTATTTTAATTCTCATGTCCATATGTCTATCTAAGCAATTTCCCTGATCTACATGGTCAATTCCTCTTTGCATAGTCAGACCTTTCTCGTCCTTCCAGACATGGCTCAAACTCCAGGCATCTCCAAGAGCCCTGTTCAGGTCACTGTATCCTCTTGTGTCTGCCCCATTGCCTGACTCTTGTCCTCCACGCCATGCGATTTCCCTCATCAAGTACATAGTCAGCACCATGTATTCCTTTTTTCTACTATAGCTGTTGTGTTTCATCTCCTCAGTGAGATTGTAAGTTCACTGTGGGTAGAGCTTTTATCATCAATTTACCTGGAATGCCCCCTAAGCTGCGCTCAAGTAGGTCATTTGGTAAAATAAATTAATTACTCTTAAGAACTGAAGCTGGACTCCAACTATGCTGGTCTCATGAAAGTAAGGCATCATTTTATAAGGTTCCCAATCTTTTTATATTTTTAAATGCTTTATTTCAATAGATTTAGGGGGTACAAGGCTCCCAATCTTTGAAGGTCTTCTTTTTCTGAGGCCCAGAATGTTTGCTAGTTAATAAAAGCAAGCTTCCGCCGTAAAATAGAACCTCTTTCAGACTGGCAGAAGAGAGGCCACTGGCTGGCTCTAGAATTAACCTTTATCTTTTGGCCATTCAATTGGTCAGAACACCATTTACTGAGCCTTAGTACACTTATTCGTGGTCATAAGAACACAGAAGCTTGTATTTCATAGCAGTGGTTCTCAACTTTTTCTGGACCACAAAATGATGAAGCCTGTAGACTTTCTTGAGAAAACTGTACACATGCACTGACATATGCTTTACATATAATTTCAGGGGGTTAATAAACATAGTGGAAAGTATTATATACATGACAGATATAAAAACTACAAGTGAATGTACCTTCAGGTAAACTGACACAGGTCTTAATCTGAGTGTTCAATATTTGGGCTAAGAAGCAGAAAATGGATACACATAAAGAGGCTTGGAATGCCTTAACTTTCACATTAAATTGTTTTTCTTTTAGAGATGGAGTCTTGCTCTGTCACCTGGAATGGAGTGCAGTGGCACAATCAGAGCTCACTGCAGGCTCATATTCATAGGCTCAAGCAACCTTCCCGCTCCAGCCTTCTGAGTAATGTTCACATTTTTTTATTTTTTAGAGAAAAAATTTTAAGTTCATTGTTACAATCTATGTACACTTATCCCGAGGAACAAACACTGAACATAATATGGTGGCAGTAAAGAAGAAAAATCATGTTTAATAAATTCAAATGTCAACATGTCCCCATTCTGTAAAGCAGTAAACCAAATTTTCCAAATAATTTTAAGTCACTTTTCAGTCAACAGAGGGAGCTCTAACCTTAGTATCTCTCAGAATCCAAGTGAATATAGTCACTTTGGAAGAATCTTTGATATGAAACTTTATATGGTACCAATGTCCCAGCTTTAATACATACCAATTTACATTCTACAAGGCCTGGTCACTTGTTATTGTCAACTCTATGAGAGGAAGCAGTATCATTTATAGCCATTATTGGATGTGTTTTCAAAACAAATATAACACCTTTGGGGAAAATTATTATGCTATACTTAATTTTGTTAGTCAAACAACCTGAAAATAATTCCTTAATATTTTGTCCCAACTATAAGGGACAAATATAGGAAATATATACAGATGGAATTTTCATTATTCCCTTCAAGCCTACTACAGATTCACAATCATTTATCTGAAGCCTCTAGAGTGAGAAACATTAGGAAATCTAGTTGTTCAGATCTTAGGAAAGTAATACGGTATATACATGGTATACTATCTAATCCCCCAGTAGGACCACGGGTAATACCATATAACCAAATACATTAATATTTCTTTAACAAAATATATGAGTATTTACATAAATGGATAAGGACTATAGATGGTCTCATATTGGGTGAGTTCTGGTGTTGTCCCCAAATCAGTTCTAATATGAAACTTCAGCAAAGACGTGCAGTTTTCAGAGCTTTACAATTTCGGAATTGTAGAGAAGGAACTGTGGACCTGTATCATCAGATACTTAAGTTCATCCTTAAATGGTAAAGATTTTCTGGTCTCACTGAAGGTGTGATATAAATGCCAATAATTGATAGAGTGAAGATACATTTTCAAAATTCACTTCATTCACTAGGTAAATGAAGAAAAAGATCCAGTTGGTCACAGAATAATTGAGTACCTTCTACATACAGAGTGTTAGATGACCCAAGGAATTAAAACAGTCTTAAGCCCTAGTTTCTCTCTATCTCTTATATTATGTAGTCTGATCATTTTAGTTATTTGTAGCCAGAATGATCTAAAATACAAATCATATCCTTCAGGGTTGATGGGACAAAATAGAAGTTCCTTAGTTTGTCAGAAGGTCCTTCATACATGTCCCTTGTATCCCTCTCTACCCTCACTCTCCATGCCTTCCCTATTCTACCCTACCATGCTACAATCCTAAAGTACTCACAGTTGCCTCTGACATACTTTGCCTACTCTCAATATCCCTTCTGAACATGTTCTCTCTGCCTGAACATACATTGCTGGTTTATCTGACATCTCCTTTTTTGGCCATTAAGATGCAGCTTGGATGCTACCTCCTGACGTTGTCCCTGACCTCCTATGTCCATCCCTCCTATGCATTTCCATAGCAGCCTGGACTTATATCTACAAAAATACTTGGCATACTATGCTAAATTGGCAGTTTCCTTATAGTCCCTACATCAGACTATGATCAGCCTGGGAACAGAGACTATGTCTGCCTCTTTATCACAGACTGCGTCCCCAGCATACAGCACATCCTGGCCCATGGAGTACTGTACCTATTTGCTAGATAAATTAATGAAATGAATAAAACACATAACAGGTTCAGAAGAATAGGGAAGTTCAAGAAAGTATCTGAACTAGATCTTGGAATATATGTAGATTTTTGATAGCTGGAGGTGGGAGAAGACATTTATAAATTGGGGTGTGGCTGAAACATGGAGAGAGGACAGTGTCGGGAATATTCATCACTGCACCTTGAGTAACCTTATTTTGTTGGAGCATAGAGCTTATGGAGGGGAAAAAAGAGAAAGAACTAAAAAGAAGGTTATTATCATCATAATTATTATTAATTAAAAAGGCAGTGTGGAGGAAAGAATGACAAATAACTGGCTTGGGAGAGTCATTTCACCTCTCCTGGTATTTGTGTAAAATTAAGGAGTTAAATAGTCCTTTACAATCCTAAAATTCTGTGATCTTTAAAAGTGGGGTGGCCCATGTGCTCACCATAAAATTGGTATTAACTGATCAACACTTATGTGCACATATAGTAGTAACATTCATCGGGTATTGGGCAGATGGGAGGGGGATGAGGGGATGGGTATATATACACCTAGGTGGTGCATTACGCACTGTCTAGGGGATGGACACTCTTGAAGCTCTGACTCGGGTGCGGCAAAGGCAATATATATAACCCAAACATTTGTACCCCGTAATATATTGAAATAAAAAAAATAGAAAAAAAAGTAGGGTGGACCTAGCTTCCTGGGAACCATACATTTGGGGAATGGGGGAGGGCCTTGAGTATCAGGATAAGGAGTACAGACTTCCATCTGTAGGAAGTGTAAACTCTCCAAGATTACTGGCCATGGGTATAACTTGATGATGCCATGGGGATTTGAAGGCAGAGGAAATATCCTCCTCCCACCACCCCCCAACCCTCCTGGGCAAGCAGCAAGGAGACTCCCTGGGGAAATAGAACAAGGCAATCCCAATGATCTGGGTATGAAGTAACACAATAAAGACCTGGGTTTAGCCTCCTGGGGTAAGTTAGTAGGTAAGTCATCTTGGAGATCATAACAAGTATAGTTTCTAGAGGAAATACTGAAGAACAGCCAGGCCAAATCTTTATTTTCACCCTTAAATGCAAGCTGCTACCCAGATATGGGTACTGGAGATTATTACTGAACTTTAGAAAGGCTGACCATGGGGAGGTGGCAGTCTTCAGTCTCACTAACCTGATGCACACAGACGTTACACTTATCACAGAACACCATATCATTCCCTTCTTCACTTTCTGGAGACCGGCACACATCACAGATTACATCTTCATCATACTCTATGCCTAGTCCTTCCTCTGTCTCAATAGCATGGTTCATATTTTCATGGCAATAGCGTTCCAGGACTTCTATTGTCTTTTCCATAAGATTCTCATCAACCGGCTCACAACCTGCACAGAAATACAAACAATCAATCAACCCCTCATTCAGCTGTCATTCCCAAATCATCTACTGTGAGCCCAGTGCAGGGGTGGGTGGGATTCTGAAGGATAAAACCATCTCTTCCTTGCCTACGACAACCAGATTTCAAAAAATCTTTTACTAGGGCTACTCTTACTCTTACATTTACCTATAATCATACATTAGTGTTTGACACTTGAAAGGAGAAATATTAATACATTTCACCATATTCCTTAGAAGATATATTACTGACCCTTTCAATTTTCTGTCTAAATCCTAGCCAGTCTCCTCCTAAATCTCTCTCCATTTTTTCTTATTCCCACTGTGGGAGGACTGTCACCAAGCTTTATAATTTTAAACACTTTATTCTGTAGCATAATAATTAAAACCACATAACTATTTGGACATAAATAATAATTTCATTCTTAGCAAATTAGCTTCAATGAGCACATCTAATGGCTATACAAGAAAATTTTGATATGAAAATGTATTAAGCCATAAAAGAAAATTCTAGGTCTTATGTGTATGTGATTATAGATATAAAATATTTTTTTTCAAACCTGACTTTTTTTTTTTTTTGAGACAGTCTCGCTTTGTTGTCCAGGCTAGAGTGAGTGCCGTGGCATCAGCCTAGCTCACAGCAACCTCAAACTCCTGGGCTCAAGCAATCCTACTGCCTCACTCAGCCTCCCGGGTGGCTGGGACTACAGGCATGCGCCACTATGCCTGGCTAATTTTTTCTATATATATTATTTGGCCAATTAATTTCTATTTATAGTAGAGACGGGGTCTCGGTCTTGCTCAGGCTGGTTTCGAACTCCTGACCTCGAGCAATCCGCCTGCCTCGGCCTCCCAGAGTGCTAGGATTATAGGCGTGAGCCACCGCGCCCGGCCCAAACCTGACTTTTAAAAAATTCCAATAATATTTTCCAGTGGCAAACTATAATACAAAAACCTATTTAGCATTCACAAGCATCTAACTTCAATTCTGAAATTACCATTTTTGCTTCTTGATTACTTTTTCCTTCCATACTTTTATTTTCTCCTAGCCTTCCATACTTAATAACCCAACTAAAAGATTCATATGACCGACGTTGGTAACCACTAAACCTTTTTTACTTGGGAGGACCAATGATTTTGTGAGAGCACATATGTATTTATTCTAACAGCTTGTAAACTCAGAAATAATCCTCAAATGATCCAAAACAAATTTACTCAAGTATTCTTCTTCATTTGTAATATAAGATGTCCTAAGAAACTTTGGAATTCTACATAAACTACCATTTTAATGTTGTGGCTACTCATGAAACCAAAAACTATTTATGTGTCATTTTTCCAGCCAAGACAAATTTCACATTTTTTGTGTGTGTGTAAAAGAGTATAGTGTCCGGTTAAAAGAGAACTTGGATTCAAATTCCAATTTCACCTCATATTAGCTATGTAGACTCTGGCAAGTTACTTATCCTCTTTAGAGCTTAGTGTTCTTACTATAAAATAAGAATAATAAAATGAAGTTCATTGACTTATTGTGAGGCTGAGATGAGATAATGTTTGCACATAGCTTAGTATGATACCTAGTACACAGTAAATACTCAATTTAAAAATTCCTTAATCTGAACCAAAATTTTAAGCTCTTAGAAGCCTCACTACAATATCATTCACTCTAAAGAAAAACTTGAGATAAGGCAATCCTCTTTTAAAATTCTCCCAAGCCTAAATGCAACGAAGTATCCTGGAATAGAAAAAGGTCATAAGTGAAATTCCAGTAAAGTCCGACATTTAGTTAATAGTAACGTACCTGTGTTGGTTTCTTTGTTTTGATAAATGTACCATGGTAAAGTAAGATGTTAACATTATGGGTACTGAAATTGCATGAGCAGTTTATGGGAACTCTCTGCACTAATTGTGCAACTTTTCCATAAATCAAACTATTCCAAAATAAAAAGTTTATTTAAAAACTCATCCAAAGGGAAGTAATTGTAAAATACCAAAGGGACCTCTTTATAAGGTGGTTTCATGTCAAAGGCAGCATCGTAATGATTGCAATGTCTACATATGAAATATGCATCATAAATATAACTGCATATTGAGCCATCAGTCCAATTGATTATGCCCTCATACTTTGACCTTCCTTCTGTCAGTCTTTTATTCCCTTCTCTTTGTGGTTCCCACCTTAAATTGATTACCCCCGTCTCCTCTTAGAGGGCAGAGCAAGAGAAGGCATAAAACAAAGGTTGAAAAATCAAGGAATGAGTATTGGTTACTGGCAGGATAAACACCATCGCCATGCCAAACTGGATTTAATACAATTTTAATTTTTTATTCATGTGCATTCACATACCAGCCTTGAAAGAAACAAATAAAAAAGAAGGGACAGGGAAGAAAAGAAAAACCACTGATCCTTGTACTAACAATGAACAAATGCGATTCAAACAAAAATGAAATCAAATGTATCCTTCACCATATCTCATATGGAAACTTACAAAACACTCACAGTTCCACAGGAAAAATTGGACCTGAACACTGCTTAGACTGAAAACAAGTGAACTAGCGCTGTGTGTAAGAATAAAGTGAGTTTCCTTTCAGTCTGACATTTCCTAGCCTTGCTGGTATGGTACTGCATAGCAGATATTTACTTAAAATTATTATGTATACTTCCAAGATTTTTGTTTGTTTATTTTTGCTTAATTTTATTTTCTTTTTTGAAATCTGTGTGACAACTCTAGAACTCACTGGAAGTAGCTAAGAACAGTTTTAGGGCTGTTTTGCCATAGGCCTGCCATTCTTCTTTTTTCAGGCAGCAAAATTATACGTCCTTCATTAAAGGGTACTGGCACAGCAACTGTGGTCAGTTGCGGTGGTACTGCCCAATGCTAAAGCTAGAGCTTTTCTCCAACACCCCTGGGCAGAGGGGCCTCTACCTTTGGCCCTGCTCACTGATCAGAGTGCTTTTCAGGGTTGAGCAAGGAATTGGCTTCAAATTCCTTCTCAACCGTAAGTTCAATTGGTCACGACCATTCTCACACTCAGAATTGGTAAACAACCTCGTGAAACCTGCATGCCATCCCCGATTTGGGCTATTTACTGTGAATGAGGAAAAAAGAGGTCATATTTAAATGTTACTGCTCTATTTTGACATATTTATGCATTTGAAGAAATACCTCATTAAGATAAGATAAAAGAGAAAAATAAATGAAAAATCCAGAAAAGAAAGGAAGCAACAAAATGAAAGCAAGTTAAAGGGTCCTGACAACCTGAAAAAATTGTGAGTCAAGTTAAGCCAAGGCACAACTTACTTGTGAGAAAAGAACATACCCATTTCTGCAAGGTCTTCATTGAGTTCCTGAAGCCAGAAGATATCCATGTCATCTAGGTCGTAGCGGCACACAGATGATGCCAACTCCATGATGTTGATGTAGCCAGGCTCTGCGGTCTCTGGGCTGGAACAGCTGATGTACTTTCGGGGCCGGATAAACAGAACATCCTTTGCCTTCTCGGCTATAATCCTAGAAAAGTAAGAGAAAGACATTGGTAACAATCAACAAAGGACAGATTCCAAGCACTGACCAGATGGGCCCAACAGCACTCAAGCCATACAGTGGACTTGGATGCTGGATAAATGTCTTGCTTTGCCCTCTGGGAGGTTTGGCAGAACCCTTTCTAGAAAGCAAATGATTCTACAAATTGTTCTGTCGTCTGCTGTGAACTTGCTGACAAACAAGTCTTCATTCCCCTTTGTAGATCCTGGGTCTTTACTACCATTCATTCTAATAAAATGTTGCTGCATTAGTGTGCTCTTGGTGCAATGGCCACCAAGTTTATTTAGAAGGGGAATCCTGGGAGGGGCAATATCTTTACAAAGGCACACCCATATCCTATACCAAAGATGTATTCCAGTGAAATTAATGATTTTCTACCATGGCGACAATACTGGATGGTGGTAAGAGTACAGACTTTATACACACAGGCCTGTTTTTTTCTGTCATTCATTAGTGTAATGATCCTGGGCAATTACTTAATTTAATTACCTATACAATAATTTATTATCGATAAATAATTAATATTAATTAATATTTAATATTGCTATTAAATATTAATTAATAATTAATTTCTTAGCTAAAAAGTAGGGATAACAATCATAAATTATGATAAACATAATACCAAATTTGTAGGACTATTATGACAATTATATGAAATATATAAAGTGTTTGGGGCTGGGTGTGGTGGCTCACACCTGTAATCCTAGCACTCTGGGAGGCCGAGGCAGGCGGATTGCTTGAGGTCAGGAGTTCGAAACCAACCTGAGCAAGAGCGAGACCCTGTCTCTACTATAAATAGAAAGAAATTAATTGGCCGACTAATATATATAGAAAAATTAGCCGGCAGGTGGCGCATGCCTGTAGTCCCAGCTACTCGGGAGGCTGAGGCAGCAGGATTGCTTGAGTCCAGGAGTTTGAAGTTGCTGTGAGCTATGCTGAGCCACGGCACTCACTCTAGCCTGGGCAACAAAGCGAGACTCTGTCTCAAAAAAAAAAAAAAATTAATAAATAAAATAAAGTGTTTGGCATGGGGAATAGTAAAAATATTAATAGATGCTTAATAATGTCATTGTTGTTATATTACTTATTATTTTCAATATTCAAATGAATTAAAGCCAAGAGGCCATGGAGTTATACACACTCAAGGCATTTCCCAACCATAAACAACAACAACCATAAATCTGAGCCCAGGTAACATGATGGGATTCCCACTCTTGTATTAACTTCTCTAGCAGGCCCAACCAAATCTATACTTCACCTCACCCCTCCATACATACACAAGCCCAAGGCAAGGACACCAAGCAAAGAAAGAAATAAGTTTTTCATGTCAACAAATGATCCTACAACTATAGGTTTAAATACTGCATGGCATCAGAGAATTAACCAAGAGACAATCCGAGTATTATTCCTGGCAATTTCAAAGATAGGTAGCATCTAAAAAAAAAAAAAGAAAGAAAGAAAGAAACAAAAAAACACGGAAAGAATAGATACACATATGTCATCATAAAATAACGAAAGTTATTTCGCTAGACTCCTTCCTGGAGCTGATTTTACTATTCGCAGTCATATACATATAGACGGATTCATAAACATATCCTATGAACATAAATATATGATGGCCTAGTCCGCCCTATAAATGTAGAGAGTATTTCTACCTAAGCATTATTCCAAGAGCCTATAATTCCAAATAATATAACCTGAATAACATCAATAACTACACATATTTGCACATTTTAATTTTCCTACCATACGTAGTTTTTTTTTTTTTTTTTCTTGAGATGGAGTCTCACTCTGTTGCCCAGGGTAGAGTGCCCTGGCATAAGCCTAGCTCACAGCAACCTCAAACTCCAGGGCTCTAGCGATCCTTCTGCCTCAGCTACCCAAGTAGCTGGGACTACAGGCATGTGCCACCATGCCTGCCTAATTTTTCTATATATTTTTTAGTTGTCCAGCTATTTTCTTCTATTTTTAGTAGAGACAGGGTCTCCCTCTTGCTTAGGCTGGTCTCATAACGCCTGAGCCCAAATAATCTGCCCCTCGGCCTCCCAGGTCTAAGATTATAGGCGTGAGCCACTGCGTCCAGCCCATACGTAGTTTTTAAAGCCAAAAGCAACAAATATTTGAAGAAAAATGCAGAAACCTTCAAATATTAATTGAAGCTAAAATTTTGGGAACTGCTAGAAGCCTGCTTCCAACGGAAACAAACCCAACTGAAAAGGGCAGGACATACATATGAATTCTGCAGAGACTACGAGATTAAATATGCTGTGTTTCTTTGTTGCATGGCCTACAAGGTAATTATAGAACATCCATTTTTCTTTTAAGAATCATCTTTTTCTAAAAGAAGACTATTTGGCTAACTATTCATCTCAATTGCCTCAAATTCTACATGCAACAAGATAGACTATAAATGTTCTTGAATTAAACTCATATGTTATTAAGCTTCTGGGAGAAACAGAGTATCACTATTTTGATCTTATGGTAGGCAAACTATTTTTAAATAAGACACAAAAGCCATTCATTAACCATAAAGGAAGAGACCAGAAAAACTAAACTAGAACTTTTGCTTATCAAAAGATACAAATCAATGGAAATCAAGCAGGTGGGAGGGGGGGAAGTAGGGAATGGGATAAATCACACCTAATAGGTACAATACACACTATATGGGTGACGACACACAACTTTGACTCAAACTGTACAAAAACAATTCGTGTAATCAAAACGTTTGTACCCCCCGTAATTTCTGAATATTCTGGGGGGGGGAGACAGGAATTGAGAAAGTAAAAAAGGCTGGTTGCTGTGGCTCAGTCTGTAATCCAGCAGCTTGGGAGCAAAAGCAGGAGGACTGCTTGAGGCCAGGAGTTTGGAAGGCCAGCCTGGGAATTATAGTGAGCCCTGTCTCTACAAAAAATAAAAAAAGTTTAGTCTGGTATGGTGCCCATGCCTGTAGTCCACTCGGGAGCTGAGGCAAGGAGGATCTCTTCGCTTGAGCCCAGAAGTTTGAGGCTGGCAGTGAGATATGACTGTGCCACTGCACTCCAGCCTAGGCGACAGAGCTAGAGCTCGTCTCTGCAAAAGAAAATAAAAAAGGAAAAAAAAAGAGTGAAAAGGTTAATCCATGGAATAGAGAAGATACTTTCAATTACATATAGACAACAAAGGAGCTTACATCTATTATATATAATAACCTTAAAATTAATTAGAAAAGATAATCAACTTAAAAATTGGCAAAAATTAAATAGACACTTTACAAGTAAGCTATCCAGACGCAAATAATACTTTATTTCAGTTTTTTTTTTTTTTGAGACAAGTTCTTGCCCTGTTGCCTGGGCTAGAGTGCCATGGCATCATCATAGCTCACTGCAACCTCCAACTCCTGGCTCAACGATCCTCCTGCCTCAGCCTCTTGAGTAGCTGGACTACAGGCGTGCATCACCATGCTTGGCTAATGTTTTCTATTTTTTGTAGAGATGGGGTCTTGGTATGCTGCCCAGGCTGGTCTTGAACTTCTGCCTTAAGTTGATCCTCCCGTCTCAGCCTCAAATGCTCGTATTACAGTGTGCCCTGTCACAACTTTTAAAGGTTCTTAACCTCATTAGCTATCACAGAATACGAAACTGAAATCACAAGTAGTACCAGATGTTAACTTAAAAGCTTACCAAAAGTTGAAAATACTAAAGTTGGTAAGAAGGCAAAATAGACTCTCATACTCTGCTGGCGGAGGTGTGAATGGGTATTAACCACTTTGGCAGCAGATATTATGATTGAACATATACGTACCCTATGACCTAACAAATCCATTCCTAGGTATGCACTTAACAAAAACATCCATATGTGACGATACCAAAAGATGAATAAAATGCTGTCATCATTTTTTTTTTTTTTTTTGTTTTTTTTTTGAGAGCAGAGTCTCGCTTTCTTGCCTAGGCTAGAGTGAGTGCCGTGGCAATCAGGCCTAGCTCACAACCTCAAACTCCTGGCTCAAGCGATCCTGCTGCCTCAGCCTCCCGAGTAGCTGGGACTACAGGCATGCGCCACCATGCCGCTGATTTTTATATTATATATATAGTTGGCAATTAATTTCTTTCTATTTTATGGTAGAGACGGGGTCTCGCTCAGGCTGTTTTGAACTTCTGACCTTGAGCAATCCGCCGCTCGGCCTCCCAGAGTGCTAGGATTACAGGCGTGAGCCAGCCGCGCCCGGCTGTCATCATTTTATATCAGTTAAAATGGAAACAACCAATATGTATAGCAGAGCAGAATGGATAAATAAAATGTGCATAGTCACACAATAAAATAGATATAGAAGTGAAAATGAACTACTACATGTACAGCATGGATGGATCACATGATCATATGATAAACAATCCAGTCTCAAATGATATATGCTGTAGGATTCTATTTATAAGAAGTTCAAAAACTGGCAAAAAATTACCTAGGGTAAGGAAGGTCAGTTACTGGCAGGGAGCAGAAGGCAGGCTTCTGGGGTGTGGTAATGTTTTTATTTCTTGATCTGGGTGGCAGTTAAATTAATATACTTAATTTGTGAAAATTCCTTGAGCTATACAGTTATGTTTTATATACTTTCCTGTGTGGATATTATACTTCAATGCAAATTTTATGATAATGATGATGATGTCATCTCACTCATCTTTCCATATGTATCTTGAACTAAAAAGGTCTGAGCTAAGGACCTGCTGACAATAAAAAATATATACTGAAACAGTAATACCAAATGCAAGGAAACACATGGGTAAAATGTGAATTAATATAAATTCGCAGAGAACTACTGTATTTATAAGAGCAGAGGGGAAGTCTATGAGAATTAGTAAAAAAAATACCTTTTCTACTACCGGCATCTACCCAAAAGATCAAATGACACTCTACAAATGGGACACCTGCACTTGAATGTTCATAGCAGCACAGTTTCACAATCGCAGAGGTGTGGAAACAACCCACGTGCCCAT